TATATATATATATATACAAGAAAAAATTATAATAAAATCAATTAAAGAAAGAATTTAAATGATACATATCAATACATCCTAATCACAAATGAAATATCGATGTTGATTCAATATCGAAATCATCAAATTCGATGTCGATTCGATATCATTTCCATTGTCATTTCTTCACTGAAATAAATATTTTAGAAACTTTTTTTGGAAGTTTTTTAATGGATCAATTTTAATCTACCTGGATTAAAACAGGAGAGAGAGAGAGAGAGAGAGAGAAAGAGAGAGAGAGAGAAATAAAAAGTTGAAATATATTTATAAGACACTTATTATTTCTACTTCTTTGAAAAGATCTTGATATAATCATTTATTATGATTTAAATTTATTTATGCTATTTAAATGTGTGCAAAAAATTTTTAAAAATAATGAATAATAATTAATTATACGTAAGGCAACAATTATTTTTATGCCAAGATTATTTTTAGGCCATAAAATCAAAAAAAGGGAAGTAAGTATGCTGTTTCTTTTTGTTGCTTTTTATAATATCGCTTTGATAATGATATAGTATATTTTGTATAATAACAATAACTAACTAAAAATTAAGATTGGGAAAAAGCCATTTTTCAAAAGTAATTTGATACCATCACATTATTAAAAAAAAGTAACTCATTATTTGTAACGGATTAAAGTAAACTAGTAAAAATAACAAGTCAACATGTTATAAATAATGAGTTTTATTTTTTTCAGTTAAAGAGTAATGATAACAAGTTACTTTCCAAAAGTGATTCTTCTAATTTTAATTTTTAGTTAGTTATGATTAATAAACCATAAAAATTGTAACGTCATTGCCAAATCGTTATTAGAAAATAATAGTAAAGATAATAATTCCTGTTCCAGTATAAAATCCATAAAATGTATTCAATGTATATATATTTTAAGATTTTATTAATTCTAAGATCTTGATTTTCCCTTTTTTTTATATTTTCTATTTACGAGATTTTTAATTAAATAAATTATAAAAAATAATGATCAAGAAAATATAAAATTTTATGTACTTCTGCAGTTATTGTAATCGGAGCTTTTTGCATCTGTTTCTGCAAAAAAAGTAATAATAAATGATAGAAATTATAATAATTGACATTTTTTTCTGTTTTATGATCTTTGAAAATTACTTTTGTAAAAAAAACAAGTTTTTTGATTCCCTGTGATACTATCAAATAATGTATGACAAAAATTCAATCAAGAGAATACTTTTTAAATTAGTAATCAAATTTTAGAGTGATTTTTAGTTTTCGCGAAGTTATAACTTCGCTTTGCATCGCAAGCAATGTCAGGTCGATGACCTAAGGTAGGTGGCTTTCACATTCACCTAATATAATCTCATGATCCGCCTCATCATTCTTATGCATTTTATTTAATAATACGTTTTATACATACTTAATCGGATTGCTCTTGAGTCTAGTCTGACATCTGTAAGTAGAGATTATAGTAAATATGATGTGAGGCATAATAAACTTTGTCAGTAAAAATAATTTTATACATAAATTGTCTATCAAGTGTTTTATAGACATATATAATTTGTGCTAATAGCTTTCACAGTAATAATTCTAACAAGGAAAATATAAATGATAAATGTAAAATCTTATAAAAGATAATAAAGAATTATATTCGTAAAGAAATTAAGTAAGTAGCAAAGTGTAAATGTGATGTGCAGTATAATAAACTTTTATCAGTAAAATAATTTCATACGTAAATTGACTATCAAGTATTTCATAGATCATTTGTGCTAATAGCTTCTACAGTAATAACTCTAACAAGAAAAGTATAAATGTGAAATCTTAGAAAAGATATTAAATAATTATATTTAAAAAATTTTACTTTATATTTCTCGAATTATATTCAAATTTTAGGTAATAAATTTACATCTTGTTTGGAATGTTAATAAAATATTATATAAAATATAAATATAAATATAATAAAATATAAATATAATAAATATAATAAAAATATAGTAATAATTC